CCCCCCCCTCCCAATAATGAGATGGGATTTTTACCCTTGCAATTCTCTGTAAGTAAAAGTGCATTTAAGAAAATTTGTTTTCGCCTGAGGATGTCATGTTCTGTGTCTTTTCTGCATTAGTTTTCTAGTGTTTTAGTTTTTTTCCCCAGAGTTTCTCTCATTCAGTGCCGGCTCTAGCCATTTTGGTGCCCTGCCCCACCCCAATTTGAACCCCTAAAAACAAGTTTGACAGTGTAAGGTACTATGGTAAACAGATTTATTTGCTTTACTCACAAACATACATCACACAACAAATCAAATGAATAAATAAAGTAAATATAATTAAATCAAAAGACAAGGGTAAAGAAAAGACCCTGTTCACAATTTGTGCAAATATTTAGAAGGTCCTCCCTTTTTGGAAAACATAAGTCTGATTTTACCTCATGAGGTCCTCTGCTGACAAACTCAGTCCTCACTGTGTCAGAATGGATGTCAGCAGGATCAACAGGCTGCTTTGATGGACTCACAAAAATCTGGGTGTGTTACAGATGATGCAGTGTCCTCAGGATGTGTAACGTTCTGCTGGTTCCTTCAACTGGAAACAATAGAAACCCTAACTGTCTATTGTGCAACTTTGGTGCCACAACCTTGAGTTGCAGTGACACTGCTTTGAGTGTAGATATCAATATGAACAAACAATAATTTGAAGCCTGAACATTTAAATCTTTCACACACTCACTTAACAGTGTTCTGGCAAGCACACAATTCTGATCAAATTCTTGCCACTCTGTTTATGTTCTTGCAACCCAAGTTGTATGTAAATGAACCTCACTAACAAGTTATATAATCTTATTTATTCATTAATCAAAGAGAAAACAATGGATTTTTTAAAAATTTGTAGCTTAAGACTTTTTAGTTAAGCATACAAATTGTGCATTTTAGGCAAAATCTCATTAAATTAAAATCTATTATTTGTTGGATTTGATATAATTTGTAGATATTCAAATTGTGTTATATCAAACAAGTGCTTACCACCATTCTGGTGGTAAGAGAAAGAACTGACACATGGAAAGAAGAAGGGCTCTTTAGATATAACAGAATTTAAATGCCTACTAATGTAACAACTCCAGAACTCACCTGCTTCAAGCTGTATTCAAACATAGAATGAAAGCTCACTAATAAACCACTGATTTAAGTCTGGTATGTCATTCTACTTCTTAAAAAGTGGTTAAGAAAATGTCATTTTATTTGACTATGACTTACATTTACTGTAAATACTAAAAAAGTTAAACATTAAATAAAAACAAAAGCAATGTAATAAACTAATAATGACTGCATCATGACAGTGACCAAGAGAACCCAGATCATTGGCAGAACTTACATTTTTTCAGCAGCTGGTGAAGATGTGAGTGAAGGTACTTCTGTGCCAGCTACAGGCCTCTGCAAATATCTTTTCAGTGCGTCTATCCAGAAAAAAGACAGAAACTTAGCTACTAATGTCTGTACAGTACAAGCAAAACACAAAGCTGCCTGCAGCAGGCAGACTACTACAAAAACAGTGTGTAGTTGTGATTCTGTATTACTAAAATAAGTTACAACTCTACACGGTAGCATTACTAGGCCCCTTTGTTTGCCAAAGGTTAGCCTCTAGCTAACTATCACGTTTTTAAGATTAAAAACAAATGACACATACCTTTACACTGGGACTCCTTCTCTACCTCTTTTCTGCATTTTCTACAAGCTGCAYCAGAAGGCTTAGAGGACCTGTTCATCATTAACGTGGTCAAAACAACAAAATACAGACTTATTGTTGAGTTTATCAACACAAACCACTACCTGAGATGCGCAACTAGCCCCTCCCCCGTCAGAGTGTCGGAGCAGGATAAGTCAGTGCAACATCAATCAAATGAGAGGGAGGGTGGGGGTGATTGCTGCGTTGGGGGATAGAAAATGTTTTATGGGTAGAGTAGTTAATTTTTCCTGTAATACTTCGTTATTGTTTTTTAAAAGAAAGCTAATTGAAAGGGGCGCCGAGCGGAAACACAAGCAGGGAATTCAAATAATTACTTTTTTTTCTGCTGCAGTTTGGCGCCCCCTCCAATAGATAGCGCTCTAGGCGACCGCCTAGTTCACCTATGCCTAAAGCCGGCTCTGCTCTCATTCCTCCAGCCCCACCCAAGCTCACCTGTTTCTGCCTGTCTCCTCCAGGTGTTTCTAATTTGTCCTCATTAGTTTGCCTTTCACATTTGGTGTCTTGTCCTCAGTCTGTGTCCGTTCATTGTGCTGCTTCCCCTCAGCCAGTGAGGTTGTCCTTCGTGTTCTTTGTGCCTCCATGAGCTCTGTTGCCTTGTCAGCTCTTTATTTTAGTTTAAATAAAACTTTGTTTACATTTTTGAATTTTGCCTGCATCCTGGGTCATTCTGCCTCAATCCTCACAGAATGAACGGACCACTGCACCCAGCCCGCAGGAAATGTTTTTTCTGGTTTGGAGGCTGAAGAGGCTTTTTCTACACCTCGCTGCACCCTGGCAGTTCAGTCCCCCTCTACCTTCTACTGGGGATGCCCGGCGGTCCTGCTTTCTTCCACCTTCCACTGGGGGTCTTCAGGGGTCCAGCCTTCCACCTTYTGCTGGGGGTCTTTGCCGGTGGAGTCTTCCACCTTCCACTGGGGGTCTTCATGGGTCCAGCCTTCCACCTTGCGCTGGGGGACTTTGGCGAGGGTCCTGGCTGAGAGCTTTGATGCCCACCCTCCCACCCCTCTTGTTTCTGAGTCTACTGGGTCTTCTGAGTCTACTGGGCCATCTGAATCTGTTCCTGAGTTTCCTGAGTTGGTGGTCCCAGTTCCAGAGTTGGTGGTCCCAGTCCCTGTTCCTGAGTCTGTGGTCTCGGTGGTTCCACAGTCTGTGGTCCCGGTGGTCCCAGAGCCGGTGCATGGTCCCAGAGTCGGTGGTCCCGATGTCTCCTGGGTTGGCAGGTCCTGGGTCGTCGCCCATTGCCTCCTCACCCCCTATGTCGCCTGTGTTCGCCCTGCTGGCTCCATAAACCTTCGCTGGCTCCTCGTCTGCTTCCACCTCCTCCCTTGRCTCCTCGTCTGCTCCTGCCTCCTCCCTTGGCTCCTCATCTGCTCCTGTCTCCTCCCTTGGCTCCTCGTCTGCTCCCACCTCCTCATRTGGCTCCACCTCTGCTCCCGCGACTCCCTTGGATCTGGGATGTTCTCTGGGCCGCCCTCCAGATCCTCTGCCCCATGTTGACTGATCCTCAGGCCGTCCTCCTGAACTCCTGCCCTGTGTTGGATGGTCTTTGGGCCATCCTCAGCTTTGTGTGTTTTGTCTTTGAGTTCCCCCGTGGTGTGTTTCTGTCCCAAGTCTTGTCCCTCTCCTTTTCAACGTCAGGAGTCGTCGTTGAGGGGAGGGTCCTGTCACGGTCTGTGTCTTTTCTGCTTTAGTTTTCTACTGTTTTAGTGTTTCCCCAGTGTTCATCTCATTTCTCCAGCCCCACCCAAGCTCACCTGTCTCCTCCAGGTGTTTCTAATTTGTCCTCATTAGTTTGCCTTTTATATTTGTTGTCTTGTCCTCAGTCTGTGTCCGTTCATTGTGCTGCTTCCCTCAGCCAGTGAGGTTGTCCTTCGTGTTCTTTGTGCCTCCGTGAGCTCTGCTGCCTTGTCAGCTCTTTATTTTAGTTTAAATAAAACTTTGTTTACATTTTTGGATTTTGCCTGCATCCTGAGTTATTCTGCCACAATCCTCACAGAAGAATTCGAAAACATCCTTCAGCTTTATGTCTGGTAGCATATCTATGTAAGTTTTAATTATTATTATTTAAGTAGAAAGGGAGATTAAACAATTCATTATGAAGAATGTGACACATGTGCAAAGTAATAAGCTGAGTGATAAATTAATGTGATGAAGTAATAAAGTGATACATGAAATTGTAAAGCATCTTTGAGGGTGTCAAAAAGCRCTATATAAGACACTATTCTTCATTATTTAATTATTCATATAAGGGTACCAGCAAATTTCTCATGTATTTCATCCAAAAAAAAATAGTCATGTGGTTTAACTTTTTCTGCTCGATTGGCAACATTTTTTGTCTGTTGTGCCTTTTTTGGCGTTACCCCTAATGAATGGTCTTCTTCTTAAGCTTGACAACTAAATCAGCTGCGACAAGCACCAGTACTTTCTAGTCACAACTCCCAAAAACTGCTAATTATGGTTTATTCCATGTCCCAAACCTTCTTTCAACATGTGAACAACTAATTCTTCTAGAGATGTGAGGTAATGGCTCACAGATAGAGGCCTCCTCCAGAGGTACAGTCTCGCTACCTGTTGAGGTTCACCAGATTTGTCTGACAGCCTCTTTCACCATAGGATCCAACTCGGCACCAGATGGCGTTCAGTTGACATCTATGGTATTCTTGTCACCTGACTGTAGAAGACACAGGGCTGCAGGTTTGTAGATGTAACTACAAAACTGAACATCAACCTAAGGCCCAAGATGGCCTAGTACCAGTTSTYCTTATAAACCATTTGCTCAGACATRATGTTTTGTGGAMAAYGCAAARTTCCAGAAACAAAAYGCCACAAATTGATCAAGGAGGCAGCTACACCCTTATAGKTAACTATGATAAGACTCCAACTCATGTTTGGGGGATAAACACAAACAACAGYAAGAATGTTCCCTCCTTAAGGCATGGAGAGGCAACACTGGGGCTGGGCCATATCATATCATTCATGATAACAACGGTTAAAAAAAACTTGCCTGGGAAACTAAATAATATCATGATATGCTAATTTCATGACCGACGTCATTTTGCCCATGTCRGTATAGAGAAACCTGCTTGTTTTCTGTTGTGGTCTTKTTAAAGCCRCCCAGTCTGATACAGGTTTAAACAGATGCTSCTTTCAACAAATCAAACACACCCTCACAGCTTTGTCCAATCAGAGCAGAGCAGGGCGGGTCTTTCTGATRTTGGTGAAGCAGTCCAGGAGAAACAAAGAAAAGATGAGTCTCCGCATTAGACTTAATTATAGATCACTAGACTGAGCCCCGCCCATACCGTCCACTGGTAGAGTCTGTGACAGCATGGAGGAGCAGAAACAGAAACCAAAAAGGGCAACAGCTTACAGCCTCCATAGAAACTTATAGATAAGCAGCAAGCTGAACCGGATCGGTCATGTTTTTACAGTAAATTAATAATTATGTTAATTTCATTCAAAAATCATGTAAAACAGCAGATATATGCCAGAAAAAAATATAATTTATAAGTAACAATAATATAAAGCAGACCTGAAGTCAGCCTGTAACTTAGATTTTAGCTAGTTGAAAAATGATGACTTCAGCTTGTAAGAAAGTACATTTAATATACTGTCATAAAAAAATAAGAATATTTATATTTACCAGTCAACAGTTAGAAAATACTCTCTGGTTATAGGATGAAACTTGTCTTTATTAGCTAATCAACTTCTTGAGAGGTCAGGTTCCTCTAACAAAAACCTAAAAATCACATTTATAATATTATTTTACACTGTGTAGGTC